TTTATCCTGAGAAAAGACGAGGCAGGCCACTTCCCATGCTTATGGCTGGAGAGTCCGTTAGGAAGAATGCCAGGTTTGCAAGGCCCCAGTAACAGGTTAAGGTACACACAGAGTACTCTCTTCACCTTCATGTCAGCTGGTTTGGTGGAGAATTTATCTCTCCGCTCTCCGTGTTCATCATACAGCAACACCACTCGGTCCACTGTGCAGACAGCAAATTTGGCATTGTTCTGGGACCAAGCCATACAGGTCACCTTTGCAGCTCCATCCTGCAGAGGCAGTGGGGGCAAAAACAAACCCAGGCGCTCATTTAGAATGGCAGAAGCATTTCTAGTTCCTTTAGTTCTAGGGTGACTTTGGTCAATTTTCCTCACCATAGTACTTAAAACAAAGAGATGCCTGTGACGCATCCTGGTCTCCAAGGCTATAAAACCCTGGACCAGGAGAACAGGTGCTTCCAGAAACCCATAATGCAAAAACACTGAGAGGTGACAATGCTAAATCAATTGTACCAATTTGCCCTGCAATGGCCTTGCTTCCTCATATTCCAGGTCTGCTGCTGAAGTAAATTCAATTGGTCCGATAAGTTTTGGTCTTTAGCCATTTTTTCAATATTTTGTTTGAATATTGAGAAAGGCGCTTGGTCAGGGGCTGAAAAGGAGACAAAGAGCAAAATCTGATTCCTGCCCCAGGCTAAATAATATGGTGCAAAAACAGGAAGAGTCCCATAAAAGCGGCATGTACAAAGCACAATAATAGTTTGGAGAAGTTTGAGATAATTTTATGTTTAAAAGATCAACTTTAAGCTCTGAGGAATGGATCCACAAATGGGGAACTTATGACCAAAGGCAAGTCTAGTCAAGAAACAGTAATTTAATTTAGCTGAAACTATCTTGCAAATAGAATAGAGGAGATAAGGCAAGAAAAACAGAGCAAGGCCAGCTCAGGAAAGGTCTTTGAAGCCTGGCCAAGGAGTGTGGGCTTATTTGGTAGGAAAAGGAGATATGGTGAAAGTTCCAGAATGAGGAGTAAGATAGATAATCAGAGTTGAGACTTAGGATGAACAATGCCACCTGGTTAGTTTTTTGCATTTCTACCCTTCTCCCGTCCCTTAACAGAAGCCCAGGTTAGAAGTGATCATCTCCCAGTGACTTATTCTTGCCACATCTGTCCACCACGAGTGTTGGTCCTCAATGGTTCTGCACTAGAGACTTCCCTCCTTGAAATAAAAAATTTAGTTTCTGCTCCAATTGTGTGATGAATTACTTGGGTTCTAGAAGTCTGGTTTAAAACTTTGGTACTTTTCACTCCTATCCCACCTACTTCCAAAATCAGAGGTAAAGGGTTATAAAAAAAAAAAAAAGGCCCCCTTTCATCAAGGTCCTCAAACCAGAGGCAGAAAATAGCCATACCACCACTTTTGCCGCCCTTCAACTCTTGCTTAAATTCGGTTCCAAGGGTGGAGGATGCCTCAACAACCACGGCTCATCATCTTCATCATTTTGCCCAATCCTGGGCCTTTGCCCTTCCCGGCATCATGACATCTTATTTTGAAAGACTGAGGGAGGTTTTCATTTCCAATTATTCCACTAGGCTAAAGGAATTTTTATTTTTTTATAAATTTTTTTTTTCAACGTTTATTTATTTTTGGGACAGAGAGAGACAGAGCATGAACGGGGGAGGGGCAGAGAGAGAGGGAGACACAGAATCGGAAACAGGCTCCAGGCTCTGAGCCATCAGCCCAGAGCCCGACGTGGGGCTCGAACTCACGGACCGCAAGATCGTGACCTGGCTGAAGTCGGACGCTTAACCGACTGCGCCACCCAGGCGCCCCGGCTAAAGGCATTTTTAGATTACAGTTTTGGGGGCAGTTTACTGAGCAATGAGCACCTCTCTCTTTCATCCCAATTTCCTTCTATCCTCCTAATGCCACATCCTCTGTGAAGCCTTCCTGATTCCTCACAGCACCGTCATGAGGATTAAATGGGGCAGGAAACAATAATAATAGCTAACCTTCAACAAGATCTTACCATAGACTAGGCATTTTGATAAGCACCCGATATGCGTTACCTCATTTTACCCCGTAAAGCTGACATAGATGCCATTATTATGCATATTTTACAAATGGGGAACCTGAGGTTCAGAAAGGTTAAGTAATTTGCTCAAGCTTACCTACACAGTAAGTGGCAGAACCATGATTTAAATCCATGTATGCTGACTCCACAAACCACAATCCTAACTTAAGCTACCTTGCATAATAAACATATTAAACATACACGGTGGCAGGTATTATTATTAGCTTTGTATAATTTTGTTCTTTGAATTTTGAAAGTTCTCCTCTCTTGTCTATCAGTTTTTACACCGCTTTTCGGTTTACAGTGGACTTTGTGTACATTACTTCAACTCTTCCATCATATCCCCTAAGGTTGCTATTATTGTTACTTCCATTTTCCCAATGAAGTCGTTGGGTGAGTGCTCAGAGAGACTGTGGCCTGGGCTAAAGTCAGCGGTATTGGGTCATGTATTAAAAGTACAGCTGCCACTAGGATTTAAATTCTGGTCTCCTAGCTCCAAAACCCAGCCTTTCTTCAGCGTGGTTTAGGCTTTCTCCCTCAGTGCCCCGCCTCTTCTGAGTCTGAGATCTGCATCATCAGAAGGAACGTAAGGTCTCCTACACTCCCTCTTTTGGGCCTGCACCTAAAGCGCTGGTTTATTTGGGTGCAGATTTATGTTCGTTGTTTACATGTGCGCCCAACACGGGGCCCCGTACACAACTGATGTTAAAGGAAACGGAATGAAAGCTACCGAGGTTAGCGGTCCGTCTCGCCTACTGAACACTATCGGCCGCACACAGTCGGGATCATCGCTAGAGCCTTCGGTCTTCCGCATACAGTAGGCGCTCAACATCATTAAATTTCCGTTCCCTCACTTTTCTTGGAACGTGAAGGCGGGTGGGGGTGGGAAGAGGCACGCAACTCCTCACCTGAGGGCTCAGCAGGGTCCTCAGGTGCTTCAACTGCATGACGAACACCTGTCTCTCAGATGCCACCAGTCAGCGACAACTCCCGTGGTTACCTGGACAACCCGCCACGCAGCCGCAGCGACTGCCGCTGACGCAGATGCGACCAGAGCGCCACACACTTCGCAAGGTCACCACGTAGGTTCGCGGCGAAGCAAACAGAACGTGCGCAGGCGCAGTGAGATCTAGGGCGGGACTGCGAGTGGAATTGAATCCTCTCAACCAATCCCGTCGTTGCCTGCAAGCCCAGGCTCAAGCCACGCCCACAAGCCCTCAGCAAGTCGGGGAGCTACGTAATCACAGTCTTTCTCGCGCCTTGATGTGAGTAAGTGTACCTGAATGCATTCTTTTAATCATCATAACCCTGATGGAAAGCAGGGCAATTGCTTTCATAGACGTTTTTGCAGCTGATGGAATTCAGCCCAAATACGTTATGTGACTTGCACGGGATCAAAAGGCTAATAATGATAGCTAACAGTGAATGCTCAGCATGTTATCTGCCAGGTACTGTGCAAAGTGCTGTACATGCATTATCTCATTTAATCTCAAAGACACTTTTTGAAGGCGATGACATTATTAGTCCCATTTTACATAATAGGAGGCTCGGGATTAGAAGGGTAATGGACCCAAACTAACAGCCAGTAAAGGATGTAACTGGGATTCAACCCAGAGCTGGTGCATTTAAACACCCTTTATATCCCTTCTGAACTCCTGTCTCTCCATCTCCATGCCATGCTTCTATACCCTGTGCCACCCCCATCCCAAGAAATGATGTGTCCAGAGTCTGAGAGATGAGTGTTTTGGAACCCGTAGCCAGTGAGAGAGGTAAGGTACCCTACTTCAGAATTGGGGGGCAGTGGATTAAAGACAGCTGCCCAGGTCAGGATGCTTCTATGGTTCAAGGTAGAGGGCAAACCGGAGCTTGGCTCACCTGATAGGTTAAGGTTAAGTCTTGTGATACCTGGGGTTGGAGCTTGTTTGAGTAGAAAGGATATTGACTTCTTGATCTCTCTTTGGATTGGGGCCCATTTCAGAATTATTGGTCTAAATTCTTGTAACATACCAGAGAGACTGAGATGCAGAGAAGGAGAGTTATTTATATACCTCCTCTGGAAAGATCCGAAGTTGAGAAGACCTGTACGTCTCCAGAAAATGTAGCATATGCTGTCTACACCAGTTCTGGGTTCTGAATCCTTTCCCCCACAGTGGATGCAAACGTCAACAGCTATTTCTCTCACTGGCACCACACCCCCCCCTTGGAATTTAGGAAAGAGTAGAGGACAGCCCCTATTTTCACAGGAAACAAGTCGCCCCAGAGCCCAAAGTAGAAGTCTTTTGACAGGGGGGATTCCAACCCCTCAGTTTTATTTCCGTAATCCTCCTCTGAACATAGTGGCGGAGAGTGAATATAAACTCATTTGCACTTTACAGTTATTATTGACTTTCGACAGAATGAACAGAGACAGAGACGGAGACAAAAGGGAAAGTGAGGGCAGGGAAGAATAGGTACAGGAATGCACAGGATAGGAGCATGTGGCACCAAGGGATCCATTAGTGTAGCTGCTCTTTCATTTGTCCCAAGACACTGTTCAGTCCTTTTCTGAAAATCAACTCGGGGTGATGGAGGAATCAGAGGGATAAATGGTGAAGAGCTTGGGTGTCAACGTGGGCAGCGAACATAAAAAGGTTACTGGCCTTCTCGTGTGGTATAACCTTAGTTTCCACTGGTACGGGAGAACTTATATCCCCCTCTTCACCTTCTCCCCCTTCTCACTGAACAAAACAAAAGGAACTAGGGCTTTAGTTTTCTACACCCATTTCTGGCCCCTCTCCACCCATCCCAGGCTAGAGAATCAAAACAAACACCTAAAAATGATAGTGCTCCTGTCGAGTTGGTGGTGGTGTGAGAGGCCCTTATAGTCAGGGGAGAGGCAGTGGGGAAATGTCTTCAGCATACTATACAGTATACCATACAGTCAGCTCCAGTTTGTCCAAGAACCTTTATTGGAAAAATGTCCAAGGGGTGAGGTCACCAGCAGCTGGAGGGGCTACCGGGTGAGAGGGGGAGCACCCGAGGCTCCATGGAAGACATTGGAGTAGTGCAGTGCGGCATCTGCCTCCAGACCCAGACATTTCCTTTTATTTGCTGGGGGAGGGGGAGTCCCCAAAGAAACACCCCTCTCTGAGACCCAGAGGCAAGATGTGGGGGCAGCTGGGGATGCCGAGAGTCCTGACGCGGGTGAAATGGGGGTCCCGTTTGGGACCTAATGGGATACAGTTGAGTAAGTGACTCTCCCCTGGACCTGGGGGATGGAAGGACGTATCCCATCTGATAGCCATTCCCCAGGTCCAGGGGTGCAGACCCTAAGACCTACCTTCTGGCCCTGCTCACAGTGGAAAGAGGACGGGTACCAGGCCTGAGGTTGTGGGAGTGTCATTACCCTTTAGGAAACTGGGATCCTTCAGTCTTGGGCAGATCACCAGCTGGGGCTCTCCCTGACCCCATCCCCATCCCCAGGTTGCTAGTGCATCTGTTTTCTGGTTCTGTTTCTTCATTCATACATCGATGGTGTTGATGGATGGGGACTTTTTCTGTAAAAGAAAATGGCTTGAGTCTCTAATTGTGGCAAAGTTGTAGCCTTCTCCATCCCAAATATCCATTCTCCTTCTTTTCCTGCCCCTCCTTGCCCTTCTCCCTTTCCATGGCTGCTCCTAGAAGCAAAATCACCTTTCCCTCCCTCAGACCCCACATCACCTGTCTTGTCCCCACTGGCCTTCCCTGAGGACTCTGTTCCGGCCCCTTTCCCTTCTCCTTGGGGTTGTTGTTGGAGTCATTATCCTTGATGATATCATACTGGCGGCAGAATAGCCCAATTACAGCTGAAACACAACAATACAATCTGAGCCTTGATCTTGACCTCCCCACTCACAGCCTTGAAGGGCAGTGAGATAATCATACAGTTTCTAGAAAATCCTTGAATTTCTGGTGCCCATGTACAAGCATCACCCTCTTAATCTTCCTCTCCTCCAACTTCTGCTCACTTCCCTCAACTAAGCATCTCCCCACTCCATTTCTCTCCCTGCCTTTTCTCCCAACAACCTTTACCATGTCCCGCCTTCACTGAGCTCCCCACCCCCCCATCCGGGGGCCGCCCCCCGGTCCAGCTGCTTACTCACCAGCCCACATGAGCAACACCAC